TTCACCATTTTTTGTAGAGTTGGTTTGGCAACCTTACAAAATTACTTCAGTTGTTCTTTATCATGGAAGTATCTTATTTTTCCATCAATTTTGAAAGGTAGTTTTGCAGGGTACATCAACCTGTTTGGATGTTGTTTTCTTTCAGAATTTGAAACACTTCATTCCAAGCTCCTCTTGACTTGCTGGTTTGTGTTGAGAAGTCCACTGTGATTCTGATTAGTTTTCCTTTATAGATGATCTGCTTCTTTGTTCTGATAGCCTTTAATATTCTGTTCTTGTGCTGACTTTCTGGGATCTTGATTATTATATGTTTGGGTGTAGATTTATTTTGGTTATGGCTAATTGGAACTCTATATGCCTTGCTTATCTGTATGCCAGGTCCTTTTTCCATGTTTGGGAACTTTTCTGCTATTACTTCTGTAAATATTCTTTTCATGTCATTTGTATTGACTACTGGTTTTTTCACACTTAAATTTTTATTTGCATCATCTTGCAGCTGTTGAATTGTTATTTCTTGGTTCCTTGTTATTTTTAAGAGATCTTTCCTTTCACAATCACTAGCTGCAATCCTGTCTTCAAGGTCTGAAAGTCTATCTTCAGTCTCTTTCAAGTGGTTTTGCCAGTTTTCAATGAAGTTTTTAATTTCCTCTCTTTGAATTGTTTCATGCATTGTACTTCCTTCCTATACTGTTCATTCAAGGTTCCAACATTTTCCTATGCTCCTCTTGTTTTTTTTTATCTATGTCTTCTTTAGATGTGCTCAGCAATTCTTTATGTTTGTGATTTGATACTATTTCTGATCTGATTATTTTTATGACCTCATGAAATTGTATCTTCACTTCAGCTGCTATCTTTTCAGAGATTTCAGTTGTGTGGCTTCCATTTTCTTCTATGACTGCATCTCCCAGACTTGTTCTGTGTGGACTGGAGGGCTGAGATTGCCTTTTGTTCCTTCACCTTGACATTTCTCACGGTTCCTCCTGACAAGATGGTTGTGGGGTCCCAGGCACTCTTCACTTTTGCTGTCCCTCTCTAGTGTAGGGAAATAGGCCAAGTATCTGAGATTCTCCTAACTCAGGTTCCCAGGAAGTCAGTGGGATGTGAGGTGAGCTCTCCATACCCACATGGCTACACCAAGTCCTTGATGGCCATGGGTGCGTGGTGGTGGGGCTGCTTCTCTCTGCCTTTGTACCTACACTGGGACTCCTTTGATGGTGGCAGGCACACAGGGGAGTGCTTCTCTGAATTTATTGTCCCACACTGGCTGCTCACAGGACACAAGTGTTTCCAATGGTGTCCTGTGGGTGCACAGGCATATCTGGCTGTTTCTCACAGCCCACGCTGGCTACCTGCAGGAAGCAAGCACCATGATACCTCCGTTTATTAACATGTCTCTTTTTGGGGGGCTTTAAAAAGAGAAAATGGGTTTTTTTACCTCACAATTTGTGGAAGTTTCAGCTCATAGTTGGTTGGATCCAAGGCAGGGTGGCATGGCAGAGGGTTAAAAAAACTTATGGTATGAAAGACCAAAAGGCTGGCTTTTAAAATTACTTACATGTTGGGTCTCTCATATTAGAGAAACCCATATTTTAGTGACTGTAGCTGACTTAATTTACTTAGTATTTTAGTATAAGAGCCATACATTTTTGTATAAATGGCTTGAATGTATCCTTCCTTATAGTTGAGTAATACTCCATTGTGCATATATACCACAGTTAGTTTATCCATTCTTTAATGGGCATATAGTCTGCTTCTATGGTTTACCTGTTATGAGTTGTGCTAATATAACATTGGCATACATGTATCACTGTAATATTCTGATTTTAACTCTTTTGGGAAAATACTGAGGAGATATATAGCTGGTTCAAATGGGATTTCTATTTTTAGTTTTTTGAGGAGTCTTCATGCTGATTTTCATAATGGTTGTACTAATTTGTATTCCACTGACAGTGTAGAAGAGTTTCTTTTTCCTCACAATCTCATCAGTGTTCATTGTTTTTTAAATCCTTGATAATGGCCATTGTTCCTGGATTAAGGTGGATCTCAGTGTTAATTTTATTTGAATTTCTCTAATGGCCAAAGATGTATAAACATTTTTCATGTATTTATTAGCTGTTTATATTTCTTCTGAGAAGTGTGTTTATTTCAATTGCACATTGTTTGATAGGGTCTTTAAATTTGGAGTCTCTAGTTTTTTGAGTTTTTTCTATATTTAAGAGGTTAGTCTGCTGAGTACTTGGCAAACTTTAAAATTCTGTAGGTTGTCTCTTTACATTATTCATTCTTTCTTTTGCTGTATGAGGGCTTTTGATATAATCCCATGCATGGGAACTTAGTATTATTTCTTGTGTAATTAGGGTTCTATGTAATTTAGGGTGTTCTTGACTATGCCTATGTCTTCAAGAATTGTGCCAGTTTTGTCTTCCAGCAGAGTTAGTGTTTCTCTTTTCATGAATACGTCTTTGATCTATTTTTGTTAGATTTTAATACAAGATGAGAAAAATGAATCAAGAGCCATTCTTCTGCAGGTGGATAACCAGCACCATTCCCCAGCACCATTTGTTAAAGAGATTATCTTTTCTTCAGGATATATTATTGACCCCTTTGTAAACAATCAGCAGGCTGAAGGTGCTTGGGGTTGTTTTATCAATCTGCAGTCTATTCTATTGATCAGATGTCTGTATTTGGGCTGGTACTATGATGTTTTAATCACTGTAACTTTTTAATGTAGCCTGAAGTTTGGGATTATAATTGCTCTTTTCTTTATTCTTGTCCAGGATTGCTTTGGTGATTTCTGGGTTTGTCTGGTTCCATATTGGAATTGATTTTTTAGTTCTGTAAAAAGTCTGATGGCATTTTGATCAACTTGCACACACATACACACACACGCACAGAAATATATATATATATAATATTGTCATGTTGATAATATTTGTTCTGCCTATCCAAGAACAGATATATCTTTCCCTTTTCCAATGTTCTCCTCAATCTCCTTTTACAGAACAATATAGTTTTCATAATAGAAGTCTTTCACTTGCTTGCTTAGCTTAACTCCTAAGTATTTAATTCATTTTGAAACTGTTGTAAATGAGACTTATTTTGACTTCTTTCTCAGTGGGTTCATACTTGGTGCATAGCAATACTGTTGATTTTTGTACATTTATTTTTGTATCCTGCCATTTTGCTGAATTTTTAAATTAGTTCTAAGGTCTTTTGGTGGAGATTTTTGGATCATCTATGTAAAAGATCATACTATCTTAAAATTTAAGGATATCCTTACAAATAAGAACTGATAGCTATCTTTCCTACACAAATGCTGTTTATTTCTCTTACTTGACTGCTGTAGCTAATATTTTGAGTCCTATACTGAACAGAGGCCTTCTTGCTCCGGATTTTTTAGGAATGCTTTTGGTTTTTCCATATTTACATTCATAAATGCTTTTATCAGTTTAAGTTAAGGTTTGTTCACAGTAATTTTCATTTTTTTATCATGAATGGATGTTGGGTTTTTTCAAAGGGTTTTCTTCATCTATTGAAATGATTCTATGATTCCTCCTTGCTGCTGCTTATGTAGAGTATTACATTTATGTATGTATGCATATATTGTGGAACATTCTTGCATCCCTGAAATAATGGATGATCTTTTTGATCATAATGTGTATTCTTCTTATTGATCTGTTGTATTCTTTTCACAAGTATCTTGCTGAAGACTTTTATATTTATATTTACTTAAGCAGAAATTGGTCTGTATTTTTCTTTCTTAAAAGTCCTTTGGCTTTGTCATCAGAATACCAGTAGCTTCAAGGAATGAAATTGACAATGTTCTTTCCCTTTCAAGTTCATGGACGAGTTTAAAGAATATTGGCATTAATTCTTCCCTGAAGTTCTGGTAAAATTCATCAGTGAATCCATTGGATCTTGGGCTTTTCTTATTTGGTAAGGCTTTTATTACTGCCTAAATTTCATTTTAGGTTTTTAATTACTCAGAGTTTTCACATATTATTGATTCAGTTTTGGCAATTCATATGTGTCTAGGAATCCATTTCTTCTAGATACTCCAATTTACTGGAATACAGAGTTTCAAAATAGTTGTTTACAATCTTCTGGGTTTTTGTGGTATCCATTGAAATTTTACTTTTTTTCATTTATGATTACTTTGACATGTGTCTCATCTTTCCTTCATTTGCTAAGTTTGATGAAGAGTTTATCTATTTTTTATCTTTTCAAAGAACCAGCTCTTTGATTCATTGACCAAAGAGTACATTTTTAAGATTGAAACACACACACACACACACACACACACACACACACACACACAGAGCCTCTAATCGGCCATGATAGATCCTCTTACTATGGTACTACTTTCCAACTTCAACTTCTGAGTGTTAATTTAGGATATCCCTCTACTCAAATTTGCAAGCAATTTCAATTGGGGCTTAGGTCCCGGCAGTTCTTACAAAATGGTGGTCAAGTGACCTTTTGTGTATAAAACACTTGTGAGGGTTGTTGGCCTTTGAAATTCACAATCCCATTCTTAGATCATAGATATGGTCCTTGAGTTCTTTATTTTAAAGATAACTTCTCTTTGATACTCATATTCCTCAAAGTTTGAGAACTTCCGCCTTAGGAAAATGAGGTCTGATTTCACCCATATACAGACTCAGTTTGTATCTTTTCAACACTGTCTGTGTAGTGCGTGCTTTCTGAGGTGACATCTATTTCTGTGGCTCAGGCTCACACAGAACTTGCATAAATCCTCTTGTTTCAGTCTCCAGCTGGGATTACAGCCAGCACCATCACAAGTGGCCCTGTTGTATCTCCCAGAAGTCCATAGTTGGTTCTGATCTGTTCCCAAATTAATAATTGCTTGTCTACTTTTTGCCCTTCTGTGTTACACCATGATCATTGTTCTTCGGTCTAAGGCCTCAGGTTTGTTTGGTATTGAAAGCCTGAATAAAACACCTGGGAACATGTTTGCATTTGCAGTATTTCCCTTTTAGGTGGGACGGCCACAAGACAGAGAGGCTTTTTGGGATGCATTCGGTCACTGCAATTGAACGGGGTGGCCCTGGATCTGGAAGAAAGAGCCACAGTGACTCCCGGAGTGCAGCCAGGTTGTCGAGGCCATTGTGGCAGCTATGGGAAGTTGTGTCGCCATGGAGGGAAATGCAGGGAAAAGCCCAGCGGGTTCTTCTGTGACTGCTCCTCCTCCGCTTTTGCAGGGCCGTTCTGCTCTGATGGTGAGTCCATGCGAGCTGCTTCAACAGGAAAGCTCATCTATTATGAATAGAACACCTGGAAGTTCTGTTCTGTGTAGTTATTATCAAACAAAAATACTCCCATTTCTGAATGTATTTTGCAAAGCATCTATTGAATGTCAGTCATATTTGATTCCTTAGATATGTGCTCAATTCTTGAAACACCAGCATCTCTTGCTGATAAATCCACAAATACTTGCCTCTAGGTGTTTCAAGTGTGAGCTGTTCAATCTACTTTATTTTTTCTCTCTGATGTTGATGCTCTTAAAGAATACAATGTCAGCAACCTGCCCCATTGGCAGTTCTTTTTAAAAATCATTCAACGTTATGTGGTTATTTTTGATGAAGATGTTAAGCAATGTAAGGGATATAGAAAGCCTTAGTTTTGTTTTTATCTTCTTTTTGGCCAAATATTTTCCATTAAATATTAATATTTAACAAAACAGAGATACTCAGATATTTTGCTGTACTCTGTTGAAATGAAATAGTGGAGTGTTTTACAGCTAGCTACTCTTATTCATTGATCTGTGTCACACCAAGAAAAGAATTCTTAGTAAATGTAGTAGTAAATGTTCTGGACAGAGTTCTCTGACTATACAAATATTTATTATCTTTTCATAATTTATGATAGAAAACTGACATCCAATTAATTTGAATTCAATTACTTTGTGTGTCTCTGGGCTACTGAACTTTTTCCTGAAGGAGTTTAACAAATTGGCTTCAAATCAAAGCAACTCCTGATTTGCAAAGCAAGCATTGGGATCAATTAATGAAAACTTGGCAAAAATGTATCTTTTAAGTTGTCAGTTTTTATTAAGGAGAAACTGTAATTTCAAAACTGACATGATAAAAATCACACATTGCTGGTATCATTCTAGCACAGCTTTCATGTTTAATGTTAAGATTATGGGCACTTTTTCTTCCCAACAACATGACTTCATTTTTAGACATGGTTTTCAGTTTAGGTGCAATCGGGACTGCTACTCAGCATGCTCATATTGTGTTGTACATAAAAGGTATAATGTAATAAATTTATAAAAATTTTATATTCTTTTTTATGTTATTGAAAAATAATAAAAATTTAAAAACTTTTGAAATATGAAGGACATCAGCATGACCCAGAAAGCATCACCTACAACACATACTAAGCAACTAGCCCTTTATATTTATGAAGAGAAGCAAGTTCAAGGTTTCAAAACAAGCTAGCTTCTTTATTTCCCTACATATATATTTGAGTGTATATTCTGTAAACTTGAGGTATTAATCTCATATTGTCAAAATTCTACACTTCTGCAAAATGATTTAAAATATAATGCGTAGCTCCTTTGGCTGATCAAATGTTAAGCAAATGTCTTTTCCCCCCTGTCTGACAGTAATGTTAGATTTAGTCTTCTTTTTGTAGTGCACAATGGATTTGAGAACGTATTTAAACAAAGAGGAAAAATTTTTGTTTCTTGATCTTGGAAAGAAAAATGTATTCTTACTACTTTCTTTCCTATTATAGGAAGTTTAGTTAATTTTACCTACAAGCTAATAGATGGTGGTTAAAATTTAAATAAGAAAATGGATATTCAAGGAGGTAAAGGACAAGAAGCCTGGTGTATGTACGAACTCAATTAAGATAGCATTAAGTTTTCAGTTGTAAAGTTGTATTAATGAATTAATTATATGTCATTCTAACGTGAAGCCATTTCAAGGGCCATTATGAAAGCTCTATTAATTTACTGTGTTATTCTTGTTTGAGGCTGTTTTTTCTACCTGTGTAATTTGTTATTTAAAAATATTAAGATATCCATTAATTATGGTAAAATCAAGATCCTTGAGTTAAAATTCTCACATAAAATGCGCATGTCATTTCAGAGATTTCTGCATATTTTGGATCGGGCTCATCAGTGATTTACAATTTGCAAGAAAATTACTCCTTAAGCAAAAACTCCAGCTCCCATGCTGCTTCATTTCATGGTGATTTGAAGCTGAGCAGAGAAATGATTACATTTAGCTTCCGAACAACGAGAACCCCAAGCTTACTGCTTTATATGAGCTCCTTTTACAAAGAATACCTTTCAGTTATCATTGCCAGAAATGGTGAGTGCTTTTCAGAGAGAGAGAGAGAGAGAGAGAGAGAGAGAGAGAGAGAGAGAGAGAACTGAATTAGAATACGAAGGCAGTGAAAATATGGATGGATTGTTCTTGAGTTTTTATCTCTCAAACTACAAGGGGAAGAAAGAATGTGCCTATGTCCTCTATTCATTTGGCTTCTTCAGGACCATGTCATAAATTTAATCTAAAAGGATTATTTAAAACAAGTGTGATTCTTTATCTCTTTTCTCATTGTGATAATTTTGAATATGCAACATAAATGTTAGTTTTTTTGTTATATTTTATTATTACTAGAAGCTCTTTACTATTTCATAGGAATAACAGTATTGATTTTGTGGTTCACTTTGAAATAAAATGCCTCATAGCCAACAAATATTTCCTTCCAATCAAAGTAAAGAAGTATTTACGGACTGTTAATGAACCCATGTTATGCATAAAACGTATCGTGAGATGACCTAATGCTTCTAATAATAGGCAATAAATACTCATAGGAAATATTGGCATTCCCATACAGGGTAAGGATATGTGAATTAGAAATGTGTTTACTATAGAAATCTTGTCACAACAACCATTTACTGTTATTTTTCTCTGTCCTATATTTGGATTAAAGTTGAAAATTTTAGAAATAAATGCAATGCATAAGAAAAACAAAAATACACATGTGTCAATACATATTTCAGCTAAATGAAACAGCCCAAGGACACTGAATATCACAAAATTATTATTGTTCAATGAAAATATTTATACCCACTCTATAGTTTGAACTTGCAGCTTACCTATGTACTGGTATATTTTCTTTGTTAAATAATAAGGTGTCCTATGAAACAAATCAGTTAAAATCTCTGCAAGCAATTGAGTGATATTAATTCTAATTGTAAGTTTGGTTCAAAGTCATTCATTTTGCCCTAATTTTATCCCAAAGTCTATGACCACTTGCAAATATCTCTCATCATTAGTAAAACTACATTTTCTCATAATATTTTTATTAGTTAACTGTCATCCAGGAGTAGGAGATACATATTTTAAAAATACAAAATTATAGAAAGAAAATGTTATCATATTATTTTATAATAGTTGCATTTCAGAAATACTTTGTCTTCTTTTTCTTTTTTTTTTAGTTAAGGCTAGTGCAGAAATTTGCATATGTTTAATTTCAGACTTGAATTTAAGGAATGAAAATTAAAGATTTGCAGAAAAGAAATGGCTTATGAGCAATATGCTTGGTCTTGATATTGAAAACATTGTAATTTCGCATAGGAACTGACATTTAGGAGCTATGTTTAGAGGGCATGTCTAAAGAATGTGAGTTTTTCCCTGGAAATGAGTAATACCAATAAAAGGATTCTGAGTTTTTATAAATGGTTTTAAAAATTCAATGTTTACTAAAATATAACTTCTTTTCCTGCTTTAGGAAGTTTGCAAATAAGGTACAAGCTAAATAGGTATCAAGAACCTGATGTTATTAACTTTGATTTTAAAAGCATGGCTGACGGGCAACTTCACCATGTAAAGATTAACCGTGAAGAAGGCGTGGTTGCTGTGGAGGTAATACAGAAAATTTGCCGGAAGCTATTTTGTGATTGTGAATCTCCAGCATGGAGCATTTGTAGCAGAAGTTTGACCATAAGTAGAATAAACAAAGACACATTTTAATGGTCTTCTATGGACTATAAATTATCAAATGTAGCTTTTTAAGTAGTGAGATTCTGCCCAAGATATCACTACTATCTCATACTTAAAATGCCTGACTTTCCTTACTGATTTGATTTTGCTCAGTAGGGAAAAGATGTCCAATTTATCATCATGTCCTACTGGTAGTTCCATCACCAGTTCAAGGAATTCCATTTACTTACAGGATGAATATAAATGCAACCATAATTCTAGAACAGAAAATTTTGATTATGTTATCAGAACAATTTTCAAAAGGGATGTGAATCACAGCAGAGTAAGTGGAATTATTCACTCTAGCAGCTTTTGAGGAAAAGCACCTATGTAGAAGAAAATTTCTTAACTGCACAACTCCAGTAAAAATACCAAGCTAAGAAAAATGCTGAGGCAAAAAATAATTCATACCTTTTGGTAGGCTTTACCAGTTTTGAATTCCTTAAATAGTCCAGAAAAATAAGGAAATGTAAAGAGGTAGCGGATGGGGCAAAGTGGTATCTGAGTACAGTATAGAAAAGAATGTTCACTTTTTAACAGCTAAATCTTAAAATTATTTTTAAATAAAGTTTTTTAAAAAAGTTTAAGGCAATAATGTTAACCATTGCTTATTTTATAAATTTTTTCCTCTTTGTTTTCTGCCCTTTCCTCAATGAAATGAAACCCAACGGGATGTCTGTAACTTATTTTGTAGATTGATGGGAATACAAGGAGACAAGTGTACCTGTCATCGGGCACTGAGTTTACTGCTGTCCAGTCTCTGGTACTGGGCAGGATTGGAGGTGAGTAAAAGACACAACCATTCCCCAAGTCATGATGCATAAGTTTAGATCAGAATAATCACGTTACATACATGCAACACATACACACACGCACACATAAACACCCCATAGCTAAAGAAATCTCTTGTCCGGTTCAATTATGCTTTGAGTAATGATCGAGATAAGGCGTGGATATGTAACAATGAATAGTGGCTTCCTACAGGACAAGCAAGTGTCCTTCTTTAACAGTAAAGCCACGCTGGTCTCTGTCTTGTGTCAATTCAGCATCATGAAATACAGTTTTGTTTTCACACTTCAGAAATATCAGATGAAGGTAGAAATACTAGGTCAGTATAAATCAACTGCCAAAAGTAGAAACTTTCATTTCATGAAACAATGAAGATAAAAGTCTAAAAGGACTAGAAGGTAGAAGCAGCTAGTTTACGTCCGGCTAGCAAGTGTGTTTTAGATTAGGACTTGTATTCTGTTTGCCTTGTTGTGTGGTTGTGGTTGCCAGTGTCCTTGTCTACACTCCTCATAAATGTCTTACAATGGTGCCTGATTTTCATCATTACTGCTGATTATAGCAGTGAACTAAAGCACACTCTTTCCATTTTACCATCTGCATATGTATGCATGCTTGTATTTTCCAACAAGGACTAAATTGAAAATGGGGAAATAAATTTTAAAAATTTTAGTAATAAATTATAAAATATTGATGTTTCCTGTTAGTCAATAACCAGGAATGGGGTTGGGGGTCTTATAGACTGGTTTGATTCCTATTCTGATATTTAACGCTAACTTGGACTATTTTGTCCAAGATGGTAAATGGAATCTTGCATTTTTGACCTTTTCACAGTTATTTGTACCTTGATTAATCATTCCTTGTATTCCCTGTTCATAGTCTCAGAATCTTGAGAGTGTTTGATTAAACCCATGGGTGAATGATCAAAATGTTGGCCTGCAAGAAGGTTAATAGCTAAGTTTATAAATATTTATAGGCATTCATGTAGTATGATGCGCTCTTATATTCCAAACAGCAGAAATATCATGCATTGTAATGTTCTTCCGCTGTGCCATGGTGGACATAAAAAATGTGTACAGAATACAATTTAGTTATTTGGAGGCTTACTTGAAAAATTCCAAGTGTCTCACCATGTTACTTATATCAATCCAGCTTCTAAGGTTGACAGTTATATCATTTGCTGTCAGGATGCATACATAATTATATATTTGGTGTGAAATGGTGGTTTTACTGTATTCTGTAGCTTTAAAGTTGATTCTAATCCTGGCCCCTAATGTCTAATTAGCAAATGAAACTCTATGCACATGAGTGTGCATGTGACTACTAGGTCTAGACTAAATTTTAGATGTATAGAAGCAATGCAATGGGTAGGCTCTCAGTTAAAAACAGAGAACATGTGTTTCATATATGTCACAGACCAGTGCAGACGTAAGGACACTGACCTCTATGAATTGGCTATTTAAGTTTGGACTTATAACTAATGTGCCTTTGGATGTCGTTTTTTTCATAATGCTAGAGGATTTTACTTCATTTATAACTGTAGGACATAAAATGAAGCCAATGGAAATTTTGAGAAGAATGGAACCCTGTCATTTGCAACAAAATGGATAGAACTGGAGTTCATTATATTAAGCAAAATAAGCCAGAATCATAAAGGCAAATGCCATATGTTTTCATTTTTATGTGGAAGGGGTTGGGGGAGGGAGAGGAGGAGAGACTGGATAATGGGCATCAAAATACAGCAAGTTAGGAGGAGTAACTTGAAGCTTGGGGACTGTAGTTCACACTGACCTGTTGTACTTTTTGTGAAGAATAAGAAGAGGGGCTCTCAGACTCCAAACATAAAGAAAAGATGAGGAGATGGAAATAATAATTATACCAATTTGATCAACACATATGTACTGAAATATCCATGTACAGTTATTACATATCAACTCAAAAATTTTTTAAAAATTGGAGAAAAATCTAAACAAACAAATGAGCAGCAAAAACGTGAAAACCACACCATGTGCTGTCCATGGGTTTATTCTCTTTTCTACCTTTTTAGCCCAAGGGGAGGTAGGTGGCAGAGAAAGTAGGTAGGACCCTAGAAAGGCCCAGGATGGAGGGAGGCTGAAAGCATGGGAGGGTGGAGTTTCATTTTCTGCAGTGGACAGACTCCCTGAAAATCTTTGCTGAATATCTAACTTTGCTCCCTGTTGCGTCTTCCATATGCTGACTTGCATATAACTGCGGCTGCTAGTCACAGAAGTATGTGCAAGTGATGGTACTGGAGAATCCCCTCTCCCAGTCTCCGCATCACTAGATGCTGTCAGTGCATGGGTCTGTGAGCTGATACGGCATTCCTGATATCAAGGAGATTCCTGGTGCAAGATGTACCATAAACTCTGGCAGAAATAATGGAAAAAGTCAAATAAATGAACTCCTGATCTCAAGAGCTTTTTCTTTTATCAGGGTGTGAAATAAGGCATGCACCTAAAGTATACAACACAGAAAATTCTAACTGTAATGCGTACTATTGATAAAAAAAAATCTTATTGCTATCTTCAAATTTAATGGCAGTTACTGATAAAGATTTTTGTGAGTAGAAATATGTTAAGTATATTATAAAGTAGGAAATTGATTTGAATCATGTGAGGAGAAACATTAATTAATAGAATGACATTTAATATGTGTTTTCCTTTTTGCAAAATGAATATGGGATATTAGTATGGAACTAAGGACATTAGTGTTTTTATACTGGTTGTATGTTATTTGAATGCATATCACTCATTGAAAAATAAGATTAAAGTCCAAATTGAGCAAAGAAGTTTATATTCTGAACGAATTCATTCTCCCAAAAGTATATGTGATCATTTATTTAACATGTGCCTAAGGTGTGGATCTTGAAACAGACTAATCATTTGTAATTCAAAGGAGACTAATTATTTTGTGTGGTACATGAATTCATTTTCAATGTTAGAGAGTATCTTATTGTCTTCTTGCATAACATTAATTTATAGTAAAGCAGATCAACAGGATGGTTGAAGAGTGGAGCTATTAATTTTTCAAAAAGCACTACCCAATTTTAAAGTTACCTGCTGGGTTAGCTCAGGTCACCTGAGGAACAGCTGCCAAAGAGCTTCTTAGGAGAGCATTTTTATAAGAGAAAGGGGGGAGGGAGCCATGTGACTCCCTCCCCAGGTGAAGGAGACAGGGTGGGAAGGTCGGATAGACATATGCCAGACCACTCTGCAGTCTACGAAAGATTTAGCGGTCTTTAGAGAGCCCTTGAACCAAACTCAAGGGAGTCCTATTCTGCCCAGGAATAAACCCAATGCAGAGCGTCTGCTGTGATCAACTCCTGGCCAGGAGCAGCCCATGGGAAGCATGGCCTTGCACAGGTAGGAACAGATTTCAGAGTTGGCATTTGAGGCCTTCTAGCTACACAGCACATTCTTGTGGCCTTGTGCTTGTCAATATGTTTTCTCCTTTTGCAAGTCAATTTGGCTCACCAATTTATCTATTAACTTCACACTTGCTTTGTGCTCACCTGCAATCTATAGAGAATCCCCCTGAGGAAGGTAATGCTTACATCTGCCCTTACAGAGCTTGTGGGTACTGGGGACTCCTAATCATTACAACATGGCCCTGTGTATCTAATTAAATATAATGTTCCCTGATAATGCTTCAGATAAAACAGTTCCAAAATGCCCTCTCAATTAAGACATATTAAGGTACATTTCTATTTTTTTAATTTTTAAAATTTTATTTTAAAGAGAAAAAATGCAGGACAGAAAATCAGAAAACAAGAGACATACAACAATTACAAGAATAGCAAAAAGCCCATCTTGATACATTTCTTCTTAAAAGATAATTTCTACATATATTTTAAAGGAGCAGAATAGAAACATTGATGTGTGGGTATGAGCGTGTGTTTTGAAGTTGTATTTTGCCTTCATTTTCAATGAAAAAGCTTAAAGATTTGACCATCCACTGCTTTTACAGATGGAAACATAGAAATAAAGAAAATGCCTGTTCTCTCTTGACTTTCTCCAGTACTCTTTTCTTAAACTTAGGAAGAAATTTAGAGTTAATTTTGGATCTCTGGTAAACATAAATAGCAGCTATGGAGCAAGGTGGACTAAAAAGCAGTATTACACTGTACTGTGATGGGGCAATGACCTCTAACTCCCTTCTACATTTGAAGCATAGAACAGCTCAGTAACTGTGGGGATATTACTGTGTTGATAGTCGGGAGCTATGGTGGGAAGAAGACCCAGGCTTCAGCAGGCTGCCCATTTCAGATCACCCCTTCATCACTAGACTACATGATAGGTGCCATTCACAGTCACTCAGGGGACTGAACTCAGAGTTATAGGCCTGGGTAGTTTTATAAGTGTGAATAGTTTTATAATTTATTTCAATGAAATCCTGACAAATATTCCACTCATTCTGAGCAATAACATTTGTAGAGGTGATATGATGACTGCTAATGACCATTTCTCTTTTCTGGGGCTACAAAGCCAAGCAGTGCACCCAGATAACTGCAGGGCAGATTTAGGCCAAATGCAAGTGCAGAGTGCAGTTAGCAAGGAAAAGCCAGCATACTCACATCCCCACGAGCTCCACTGTACATAAACCCTCTGTGTAAAACCCGCTTCCGCCCCTAGAGGTGAGGAAAAAGGCGACCAAGGTCAACTTAAGACATTGGCTTTAGCCGTATGCTGTGAAATGACACTCAGGATACTGCAGTAGTTATTTTAAAAGTAAAACTTAAAAGTTAAGCACAGCTAAAATAGAAAACATAACAAATAATCTAAAAGTTTTTAAAATTTAATCTGACCCATTGCTTGTTTTTCCCTTATAATAACTTGAGTTGTCATAGACTATTTTTAAAGCATAGCATGACTTCGTCTTTATGAAGACTCTGGTTGATTCCAAGGACTCATCCCTGTCATTTTGAAGTAGCTGAAGGCAAAAACATCTTTTTCTCCAAATCATGATACATACACGT